TTGCGCGAAGCGACTGTGCGTACGTGATAGAGCAATGACGTAGCATGGCGCATGCACTAACGGTACTTCCCGCGTTCTCACAGTAGCATCGTTGCAGCTGTTGAAGATGGAGGTTCTTATTCCAGCTCCCGCCGACTGTGAAGTCCGGTCAGTGATAACGCTAGGCCGCACACGGCTCGACGGACAGCAAGTCTCCTGCAGGAGTTCAGCTGGGAGGTGTTTAATCATCCACCCTACAGCCCGGACCTCGCTCCCAGTGATTTCCATCTTTTCCTACACCTCAAGAAATTCCTGTCCGGTCAGCGTCAGCGTTTTGAGAATGACAGAGAGGCGGAGATGGTTGTCACACAGTGGGTCCAATCCCAGGCGGCAGACTTCTACGACGCAGGTATTCAAAAGTTGGTCCCACGGTATGACAAATGTCTCAATTCCGGTGGCGAATATGTTGAAAAATAGCTGGACACTTGCTGTATCTGTTGCAATAAATATTTCCATGAAATTGTGTTTTGTTTCTGTAAACGGCCCCAGGGAAACTTACTTTGTGGACGAGCCTCGTAGTACCTAGGTATAGAATTGATGAAGATTTAACTCTGGTTTGTCAGTAGACTTTTTGTGATGCACTGCTTAAACTCTGAAGTATATTTTCTGTACTTTCAAAATGAAAAACTGGATGGAGTAGATGCTTTCGAAATGCTGGTAAGAATTCTGTAATCGTTGTTGTATTATAATTAAAGAAACACAGAACGAAAGGCGACAATGTTTTCCAGCGTTGGTGCCTTCGGTCCCGTTGTTGCGAAAAACGTAAGATAAATAGACAGATGTACTTTGTTATTACTAAAGGTGTAATATCTGATGTTGCCTGAACTTGACGCTTCGCGCTTCTGAAAGTATTCCTCAAGGCAGTCGGAACAACTGCATGGTTTCTGGTACCGCTGATACGAGAAGGATTTTATTTCCGATGGACCTCAGAGGTGTTACCGTTGGGGCAGTGCGTTTTATTCTGTCTTTTGCTTCACAAAGATTGGACAGGGTTCTGTGGCAAGTGTAAACGTAATTCTGTGCTGGTCGGCGGTTTTCCATTCATCGTTCGTAGCTTCCTGCTTCATTGACGACGACAGATACCGGTTTCAGCCGTGCGTGGGAAGAGCCGATCTCGCTCAAACCGACTCATTAACAACATTGTGCTAACGGCCGGCCGGGATTTTGACGTTCAGAAAACCATTCCTTTCATTGTTTAGTCTGTTTTTATTTATTTCCCTGTATTTATGTTGTTTATCATTCGTCTCTCTCTCGTACTTTTTATTTATCTTTTGTAGTCTCTTTTATTTATTCTCTTCTTTATTTGTTTATTCAGTGGAAATGGATTCTTCAGTCAGATGCGCATATTTCAGAGATCTACACCCATTTTCCAGTACAGTAGAGATCATAAAATTTGCCGTAGTGGTAGCGGCGCTTGTTGGAGCCACTGGTGATGATTCTGAGAGACGTTAGCAAGGGGCGATACTTTGATGGAAACTAAAGAACTCCATGAAGCAAAGTCTTTCTAAGAGACGATCAATCTCTTAGCTAGTCAAGAAGTTATCCGACTTTCATCCTACTCGAAATTTCATTACGTGTTCGTTAAGAGCCCGCTCCTGGTCGCTATCAAGAACCAAATGAATGCTGTCAAGAAACTCATAATCTATTTCTTTAATACCTGATTTGATATTATCCTTCGTTCTACGCGTTTGTCTTTCAAATAGTATTTTTAAATCAGGTTTTCCGACGAAAATTCTGCATGCATTTTGCATTTTCTTTATGCGTGTTAGATGCCGCTTTTATATAATCTTCGTTCATATGAAAAATATTTTAATGGAAAGAGCGAATTAATTCAAAAATAATATCTCACAGCAAAAGGAATTATCTTGCGACACGGTAAATCTTCTGCACTGGAGAGGCTGCTGGTTGGAGGCTGAAAGCTGAATCATCGTCCTTACGTCACTGTATGATTCACTCCAATGCTCCAGCGGAATTTGTGAACTTCTGTCCAGCCACGTAGTCCCCTTCTATTATTTAATTCACCTTATCACGTTCCATGTTACTCAAGTGATGCCACGGCTATCAAAATTTCGGATCGGAATTTACCAAGTGCGATAATCTTTGTTGCTTACCGTGGGTAATTAAATATAACTATATGTGGATTCTCAGCGATGAGAATTACACATTAGCACTGAATATGCGAACAAAATTTTTTTTACTTTGCCAGAAACTAGGCATTGAAATTTTTACCGTATACCAAACTGGTTTGTATGTAATGTTTTCTGTTCGTATGTGCAATTGGTAACATGTAATGCCAGTTGCAGACAAGCCACATATTGTTAGCGTTAACTGTTGAGACATGGCGTGAGATGTTTCACTGATCTTGTCAAGCGCTAAATTAATTCAGGTAATCAGGGTAATGACCATTAGAAAATAACGTGGGATCCAAACCATGGTGGGGCAATAACAGTCATGTAGCTGTATGTATTGTCTTAAGCGAGGGAAGGGGACTTGATCAGGTAAATCCACTTTGGATCCAGCAAAGCTTTGGATTATGTTCTTTTATCTCTGTCACAGTTTATCACAACCCTCTTTCCCAGTCGTACGAGTATCAGGTTACGAGGTAAGCTGGCCCAGAAATTTGAATTTTAAGTGAAGGCGTAATAAATAAAATTAGGTAAACATGTCTTCCTGATTAAGTGACATGTAATGTACGAGCGAAGAAGTTATGAGTGTAAATATGTGTCTTCCAGACTTTTACTCTGAATTTAACTCTCGTCTCACGTAATAAATAGAGTAGGTATAGTTATCAATGGCGGAGTATGACTTGTTCAAAACTGTTAGCCGAATCCCGATGCTGGCTCCGTGAAAGTTTTGGCTGCTGGGTATACACATTCATCGCACTTCATGCACAATCACAGGTTGCAACGCGGCACGAGCGTACAACAAAGGTTACGTAATTAAAATAGTTAGATATCGTTTTTCAGAGCTCGAAAATGACTGTCTTCTGGGATGTTGCGCTATCTAATTTTGCCCCAGGGGCGTAAGGGATGATATAAGCAGAGAGCATATCTGAAACGTCGGTCAGTTTCTACAAGACTACACGGCGCCAGATTCTATAGGACAATTATCTTCATTTTTATATAGTGCCAACGTCTAGAATATTTGGAATTTACCGCCAAATTCCATAGACGCTTCATGACTTTCTATGGTTTCATATTATAATTACGTAGCTTGTTGGTAGTTTGATGGACGGTTTAATTCTTTGGAATCCTAAATCTCACCGCACTAAGTACAAAAATTTTAATGCTTGTTTATTTTCATTCAGCAGTCAATAATCAGTTTCATAGTTTTGTAGATAATGTCTAGCTAAAACACTTCTACTTGTAGCCAGTATAAGCTCGCTCCACAACTTGAAAATCCCTTCTCTGTCATTCAGATAGCGTAGAATTTTAAATGGCGGTATAAGCTTCAATTTATAATGCGTCCTTTTCCCTATTGTTCGCTCGCTTACATCAAACAGATTCTTCTTGAAATAAGCTGCCCCTTATTGCCTGTATTTCATTGTTTTTATGTATTATCTTCTTTAGTTTTCTTGTTCGTTGCGTTTCGTGTGTTCATCTTATTTCAATCTGTCTGCGCTTCTGTCAGTACTATTTTTCTTTGAGGCAGACTTTGACCAGCGAAGCGAATCAGACAATTTTTGTGATATATGCGCGACAGGGAATTGGGGCGAAGTCCCGTAGAGTCGTGTTTGTTGAGGCACAACGAATCGTCATGCTTGCGTTCCGGGGTTCAACACTCGAACCCTGGCTTTGAACTTCTATGTCCCACATTATGTCTGTGTTGCACAGTTTGTAACTAGCCACATATCTTGACCTGTCATCAGCTGAGAGAAAATTCCTTTACAGCAAGAAAACTTGCAGATATATCGATTCCAGTGAATAGTTGAATAGTGTCTGCAATTAATTGGCTTATTCGTATCCTCTTAACTTGGGTATGCTTTTCCTGTAATGACGATTTGTTATGGTAAAACGAGACAGTAACTAATTGAAAACCAAAATGTCTAGCAGAATATGTCACTGGACACGGTATTCAACATTGGTCTGGTCGTATTTTGCTTCAGTTGAGTGAGGTTTTGTCATTTCGTAATTTTTGGCCTACTTAAGAGATATAGGTAGACAGCCAGTGGAAGAGAAGAAGTTGGGAGGAGACAATAATTGTGTCTGCTATGAAATGTAAATAATCTTCTTGGCTTTCAGATTTCATGCTTTGAGCCAAAGATGAGAAATCCTTAGAGAGATTTTGTGTGCATATCTGATGACATAGGAATAACCTTTGTTTAATCGGAGCTTTAAATTTGAGTTTATTAATGGTCTTACAGATGGCATTCACGTTTTTGACTATTTTTATAACACTCTTCGTAAATTATGTTTTTATTCTCTGTTATCACACTCGTTGCTTTTAAAACAGAAAGACCTGCTTTTATTTTGCATAAAAATGATCTTCCTTTTGAATTACGTATCAAGTGGGCTAGCTGTATGTAACATTTATATATATATATACTCTAATATCCTACTATTTCTAAAGCTGTTAGTGGAGTTAGTGTAAGAGCTAATTAGAAGGGTGTAGCAGCTCAGTCGTAAAAGCAGGTAAAAGGCCTCAATATTTGCTGGAGTTTGGAGGTCATTAATGATAGGTACTGGTCCATGACATAAAGTCTTTGAGTTGTAAAAGTAAAAAAAGTAAAGTTTGTCCCGCTATACGCCATGTAGGCGCTTGGGGTGAGAGGAGGTATAGCTCCTCCCTTCCTTGACCTCGGCACTAGATGGGGGTGAGTGGTCAGCATCACGCCCCAGCCGGCTTTACCCCCGGGAAAGGACCCCGGTACCCATTGTAGAGGAGGCTGGGTGGGCCCCAGAGGCTAGAGGAAAAATCCTCTGCCCCCGTCGGGGATCGAACCCCGCTCGTCCAGCCCGTAGTTAGTCACTATAATGACTGAGCTATCCCGGCTCATGTCTTTGAGTTGTACCGAAGTAATTTCTGAGTGGTCAGCACTCCTGCCTCGTATCTTAGAGGGCATCGGTTCAAATCTCGGTCAGGAGACCGGCTATATTGGCTTTAAAGTTTTTCTTTTTGTTCCTTCTGTGTAATTTACAGTTCGTTAATTATCCCGCCGTTGAACGTTGTAACGCTTTGTAAGCCTAGTCTCAGCTTTTGAAAGCGCTGTCAAATAAACCACAGGAAAATTAATAAATTTTATTATATCCAACTTCAATTTGATGGTTGCAACTTTGGAATCGACTTCGTCTTACAAGCTCTATAATGCGCCTATGCTTTGTGCGTGCTTAAACAATAGAACATCAATAAAAGTTAGTGGCCATAATATATTACATGTGTACTCGTAATTCATCTGACCAAGGACTCCCGATATCTTGGGAGGGCGCTCGTGAATTTCGTTCTGTGGCTCTAGAGAAGTGGGGAGGAGGAAAGGGAGTGGATGCTTGTACAGTAGTGTTTAACTAGCTGCACAGCTTAAGTTACCAGTCAACAGTGTAGAGGTTCTGAAGTTTGCCACTAGCAGTCCCTGGTCGAACTGGGTATAGTAAAGACGTGGACTTTATCCATCCCCCTATATTCCACAGAAAGAACACTGTGGTCCGGGATTTGGTTCTGCTGCCGTCTGCAGGTAAAATGTTGCTACTTATATGTCCATAGAGAGGGCTAATCCCAACCAATTAATCCAACCCCCGATACGTTGTGTTCTATTTGTAGAGTACAGGACGATGGACAAAATAAAATAAAAGTTATTAATACCAATCATTTTCTTTTAACTGCAGTCAAATTAATGGTTGACTTCGTTAATTAAAAATCAGTAATAAAGACCGCTTTGTGTGTTCTGTCCAGGCGAATTCACAACCCTGCGAAGCGCCTATTAAAATGCCAGGTTCATGTGTCCGAAGGCATGAAATGACTAGATAGAGGATAAAACCATTTTTTATTAAATTTGATATTTGAGAACTTTGTGACAAATTGGCCAGCTACAACAGTCTTGTTTAGACCAGACTATTTTTACCACGGAAAATAAGTGCTTCTTCGAACCTAATTCAGTATAACTACATGGTTACCATGGTTAACTTTGTTACCTTGTAAGGGGAGGAATTTACAGTGACATCACGCAGGTAGCCCCGCCCACGAAAATATCATTGAACCGAGGAAACTCTGAGGGCACTGACGCCATTTTTCAAAGGTCAAAGGTCAAATTCAGATGAACGGGCTAGAAATGTTATGCTCTGCCTATAGTTCCGAACTATTTCTTCAGATTGTAGGCAAGATGGCGTCTTTCGGCTCACCGTGGACCGTCTTGATGTAGTCTACCAGTCGGTCTTCGAGAATTTTGTGAGATTGTGTTTTGTATGTCCTTCTTACGATATCTAGCGCCGTATATTCTTATTATTCGACTATTTATTTATACTATACATGTTTTATAGCTAATAGGTCTATCTGTTTTTCTCAACTGCTTCCTTATACTTGCTCCAGTATCTAAAATTATGGGCCTCGTCTTGATTTACGTCACTTCGTTTCTCTCTCGTCACTATAAATCTTCCTTCTATGTAGTTCATTTGGTACAGTTCTTTATGGAATTTTAACTTTTTCTATCTTATTTCTAAGCGGCTATTAGTATTGTTATTTGAAAATACGCAGTTTATTGTATTTTTTATGCCAGAAATAAGTAGCTTAAGAATATAATTTAAATTTTTTTATTTGAATACAACCCTCTTGACTCTTGAGGACATCACCATATATTTCAATACAAATAGGCATTTTTAAAGAAAATTTCTATGCACATAAATGTTTTGCCTTGGGCCTAAAAATTTCATTTTACTAACTAAATTGATTTATAAATTGTCATCAAATAAAATTGTTCTATTCTGTCTCTGTAGAATTTTGTAGTTTAGACAGGAAGATAAAACAAAATAGGGTAATTAAGAAAAGGAAGAATGAAGAAAGGATAACAGGACAAACAGAAGAAGCAAAAATAAAGGAGGAGGGAGAAAAGAAAATTAAGATGAAAGGGTCACGGAGTGACTGTAGTTAACAGTGCAGGTTCGCCGACAGACGCATCTAACCGTACTCGATGACTGATTGTGAATAGCTTAATGTGTAGCGTGCTTCGTCTTCGCTCGTGAGGTAATCACCACGTTGGTTGGTGGCTGAACGGCAAAGTGCGGTCGAGGTTCGGATCCCTTAATCGTTATAAAAGCGGCAAGCAATTTCAATTCCGGAATCCGCAACCTGCCTTGCGAAAACTTGGTGAAATTCCAAACCTGTTTTTTTCTGTTTTCCTCCTCCAACGAAAGCTCTATCCTGCCTAACATTCCAAGGGTGAGGGGAATAGCTTCGACTCGATGCCTTGAAACGAAGATTACGTATCTAAAAAAGGGTAATAAGGAGAGGGAACGAAAGAGAACGGGACTGGAGGGAGGGAAGGCAGGCAGAGAATGTCAGTTGCAGTGGATTCAGGTTCGATGCTCTATAATTTAACGTAAAGAATTATGGGCAAAATAGGTGAAAATAAGTATGGTGTGCAGACCATAGGAATACTGCAGTATTGCTGTGTCATCAAAGTATTTTTAAATCACTAAAACATTTAAATGCTTATTTTAAAACAATTACAATTAACGGGGCTAGGTTATTTTACAGTAAGTGCGTGGTAATGTTGCAAACTACCCCGTTACTGTTGCAGACAAAACGGATCGCCTTAGACAAATGGTTGGTTCCATTAAAACTACATCGAGCGTTCTTGTCAGCAAGTAAGAGAAAGGTTATATTGCGTGAAAAATTGGCAAGCTGTTCAACATTGAAAATAGTAACTAAAATTTACCGAGTTTTAAACCAGAGAAACAACAGATGCAGCACAGACAAAATTCGACCACGCGCTAATTCACATAAACAAAGTCAAATGGCGCTGTTGCAGTGTGATCTGTTACAAAGTGCCCCCTCCGTGTCTAACGTTTTGAAATTCGTTCTGTCGTACTGTGTTATAACAGTAGGCCTACACTCCACTTAATCGAATTGGTTTCCTACTGTAAGAACTGAATTTGTTACGGACTGATGCAAAAATCTTACTTTTAAAAGTGGCAAGTCCCTACACAACTGATAGATACGCAAATCAATAGGTCGGATGGCCAGCTGGTACTTATTTCCGTATAAAGGGATGGACATCCCTCAAATGGATATTTCCCATAGAATTTTCCACTTCAGAGCTTTTTTTTTTCGAGAACAGATTAAACAGCTGTCAGATGGTTTTCTGAAAAATAATTTTCACATTTACCAAGCCTGTTATTATTGTGCAGCCATTAAACTGGCATCAGGAAGACCTGAAAAATTGCCTTCAGATTTGCCAGGGGAGAATAGCACGGATCGGATGAAGGAAAGAAGGAAAGCGGGAGGAGTGAAGGAAGGGGGAGACAAATGATAAAAGAGAGAGAGAGAATAGAAAGAACCAGCCCATAAACATGTTTTCATTATCAAAATGCATTTGCATCTAAATAAATGGAGACATTGGGAATTAAAAGAAAGTTTCTCTTACGCTTATGCACCGCGTAATCAGTGACATATAAGGGGCGTATGGGTGAAGACCCACGCTTTCTGGAGTTCGTAACGAGATGAGTGGCCAGCCCCATCCCTCACGTATTGGTAGATCGGCAACCCTGAGTCATTTTCACGGGCCTTCGCTTACTGTGCTGATCGAAACATAAAATGTGTGAAAATCCAGTCTGTTTCAAAACTGAAAACTGGTAAATGATACACTTCCTCCTGTAGAAACATTACTGCTTAACGGGAATGTCACAGAAGTAGTCTAACCGGCACGGCGATCACAATGAATTACTTAACATCTCGGCGGTCGATACAGTTCATAGAGCAGCTTATAGTCTCTCACCTGATCAACTTATTCCCTGTTTTTATATAACCCGAAGGTTAAATAGTGTGTTCATAATTTGGATCGGGTTTTTTATTGGAATTATTCGTTATACAAGGCTCGTCCTTAAAGTAAGTTTCCCTGGGGCCGTTTACAGAAACAAAACACAATTTCATGGAAATATTTATTGCAACAGATACAGCAAGTGTCCAGCTATTTTTCAACATATTCGCCACCGGAAGTGAGACATTTGTCATACCGTGGGACCAACTTTTGAATACCTGTGTCGTAGAAGTCGCCCGCCTGGGATTGGAACCACTGTGTGACAACCATCTCCGCCTCTCTGTCATTCTCAAAACGCTGACACTGACCGGACAGGAATTTCTTGAGGTGTAGGAAAAGATGGAAATCACTGGGAGCGAGATCCGGGCTGTAGGGTGAATGATTAAACACCTCCCAGCGGAACTCCTGCAGGAGACTGGGAGGTGCCGTTAGTGCATGCGCCATGCTACGTCATTGCTCTATCACGTACGCACAGTCGCTTCGCTCAATATAAGGTTTGCTAGCTGTGGGACGAGTGGGAAACTTACTTTTGGGACGCGCCTTGTATAAGGACGACCAGGTTATAATTCAAGAACCTGTCGACGAGTTTCAACGATCAATTTCTGTAGTGTAGCAAGAATATTCTGAATATAATTTAAAACTTTTGTTTTACAAAGAACATGACATTTTGTCTGCAATATTCTGCCAAAATTAAAATAATAAAAATGAATGATTTTTCATATTCAAGTTAAAAATGGCCGTCGTCAGGGTTGTTGCGCGTGTAGTCCGGTAGAAGTTTCAGAGGGGTTTGCTGTCTTCATTATCGGGGTGATCGCCAACAAACAAAAGTTTCCAGTTATAAATGTAGCCTAGTAGTTTCTACGGGTATGTGGCTTGTAAATGTAATGACGATTCCGATATTAGTTTGAACTGCAACACTTTCGAAAAGAAGTGCAAGTAAGAGTTTACTGCGTAATAGTCGTACTGCAGTCAATAAACACAAAGGAAAGTTGGATTATTACATAGAAGGATGTTAATATGTTCCAAACGGCTGAAATGAGATTCTGATGAGATATTATACACTGTGCAATATGGGAAAGGCTAGCCAACCAAGATATAACGACATGTTTAAACATGGATTGATGTAAGTAAAATTAATTGTTTTAAAAGTAATCTTTTGAACATTTAAGAACGTTAACAAGGAAGGAACATGTGGATAAGTAAGAAGAAAATAAGTTTTAATTCTTAAAATTTGTTCGCTGAGGTCCCCGAAATAGCTAAATTGGACTTTTGGATACAAATTTTATATCCCTGTTCCAAAAAATGGGTTTTGAATATGCGAATTGCAGGCTCAGTAAACGTTCTTCAGACTTAAGCCTACATCAGACTCCCTGAATTTCAGATGGTACAGACTTGTGCAAAGTTAATTCGTTTTGTTGTTTAGGTTGCTTAGGAGAATATTTTGATCTATGACGGATGAAGTGGCATGAGGTTGGAGAAAGTTGCATGATAAATATTTGCGTAATTTGTACTCTTCGCCAAATAATATTTGAATTACCAGATTCAGGAGGATGAGATGGGATTATAGCGCACGTGAAGGAAGTGAGAAATACGTGCAAAAGTTTTGTTCGGAAGCCTCAACGGAAGACCACTCAGAAGAGGGTGGATTTGAAACTGATCTTGTGGAGAAATAGGATTTAGTTAGTGAACCTTCGAGTCCCTTG